TTGGATGGAGTACTGCCTTGCATAAGTAGTGATATAACATCAGATTATATCATATTATATTTCAGATTATATATTATATTGTGGGGGTTAAAGCCTTAAAATTCAGGAATGGGAAATGTTTTATTATTCTCTAAAAATAGTAATGTTTTACTCGCTGTGCATCAGTTTGCCTTTACACGTTACACTTTCCCGAATGTACTGTAAGGATTGTCTGCTTGTCTGTCTGTACTTCTCTGTCTGCCTGTCTGTTCATACATCTGTTTGTCTGTCCATTTATCCATCTGTCTTTCTATCTTTATGTTTCTGTCTGTACATCTAGATGCCTGTCTGTCTCTATCCATCTATCTATCCATGTGTCTGTCTGCCTCTCTGTCTATACGTCCATGTCTTGCTTTGTCCATGCATACATTTTTTTTGTCTGCCGTCCGTCTGTCCGTCCTTCTGTCTGCCCATGCATGCATCTGTTTGTCTGTCTGTCGTCCGTCCATCCGTCTGTCTCTATGTCTGTCTGTCTCTCTGTCTGCTCATGCATACATCTGTTTGTCTGCCTGTTCATTCATATGTCTGTCTTTCTGCCCATATATCTGTCTGTCTGTCTGTCCGTCCGTCTGTCCGTCCATTTATATGTCTGTCTTTCTGTTTATATGGCTGTCTGTCTGTCTGTCTGTCTGTCCGTCTGTCTGTCCGACTGTCCGTCTGTCCGTCCATTCACTTGTCTGTCTTTCTGTTCAAATGGCTGTCTGTCTGTCTGTCTGTCTGTCTGTCTGTCTGTCTGTCTGTCTGTCTGTCTGTCTGTCTGTCTGTCTGTCTGTCTGGCCATTCATACATATGTCTGTCTGTCTGTTTGTCAGTTTCTATACATCCAAATGTCTGTCTATGTGTACATTCATTCGTCTGTCTGTCTGTCTGTCTGTCTGTCTGTCTGTTGTTATATTTCTGTCCCTGTTTGTTTGTACATCTAAATGTCTGTCCCTTTATATGTCTGTCTGTCTTGGTTTCTGTCTGTATGTCTGTCTGTCTGTGCATCCAAACCTCTGTCTGTTCCTTCATATGGCTGTCTATCTGTCTCAGTTTTTGTCTGTTTGTCTGTCTGTCTGTCTGTCTGTCTGTTTGTCTGTCTTTTTGTCTGTCTGTCTGTCTGTCTGTCTGTCTGTCTGTCCAAATGTTTGTTTGTCTGTCCATTTATAGGCCTGTCTGTCTGTCTGTCTTGGCTTTCATCTATCTGTCTGTCTGTCCATCCATCCAAATTCATGTCTGTCTGTCTTGGTTTCTGTCTGTCTGTCTGTCTGTCTGTCTGTTTGTCTGTCTGTCCAAATGTTTGTTTGTCTGTACATTTATAGGTATGCCTGTCGTATATATGTCTGTCTTGGATTTCGTCTGTCTGTCTGTCTGTCTGTCTGTCTGTCTGTCTGTCTGTCTGTCTGTCTGAGAATTTCTTTATTTCAAATCATATTTGGAACTCTGTCTCCTCCATCTCTTCATGGCTCATACTCTCGTTCTTCTGTTTCACTGTGGACATTTTGTAATAGATTTTCCACCAGTGTTTGATGTAGTTCTTTCCCACATTCCTGTACTGTTGATTTCCCTGATTTAGCTTCATCACTGTCAGTAATGAATGGCATGATGTAATGAGATGCTAATGAGATGCTTGTTGGCTGTGTTTCAGGCTCTGAGGGCGGAGCTAAAGGAGCGTGAGCATGTGGTTCTCAGCACATTGGATCAGGCACGCATGTTTCTAGCAGAGCAGCCAATCGAAGGTCCCGAAGAGCCGCGCAAGAACCTGCAACCCAAAACAGGTGAACATTTGTGTCTCTCCTTGCACTGTGACATATTTTTAATGATGCACACATACAGTCACCTTTATCAGGCTTGCATTTCCAGTGCTAAAAGAGTACCAATAGTACTCTTATGGTGGGCAGGGTTTACAACAGAAAGCTTCAGTCGACGTCATTCCCGCTGGAGGAAAATCACAGTAAAGCTGTGCGGTTTGTTTACATATCTTATGAGAAGCACTTTCACAACGCAGATGCTTTATACACATAAATACTTGAGTACATTATGGTGTATTATATATTATTACGGTGAAATGTCTCGACTGTGTATTTAAAGCATGCCGATTCCTTTGTTTTTATTCTGGCTTGTTGCACGAGCGAGTGATGTATCTCTGTAAGCTGAGTGTCTGCTGTACCAGTCCAGAGTTCTTTCGATGACGCCACAGCAACGCCGAGTTCTTCTTATTAAAGAACATGAGTCTGATTCCAGCGACACTCCAGGGACAGACGAGTCTTCGCTGAGGCCATCTTCCAGCCTTAAACCACGGCGAATGAAGCTCTGCATAAGACTTTTGGCCAGCGGAGAAATTAAAATGGTCGTGCCCAACTGAGTCTGGTTCCCTCAAGGTTTTTTTTCTTCACTCCCATAAGGTGAAGTTTTTTTTCCCTCTCCGCTGTCGCCACTGCCTCGCATGGTTCAGGATTGGTAGAGCTACGCATCGATGAATTTGCTCTTCAGTGTTTGAACTCTCAGTAATGATTAAATCACACTGAACTGAGCTAAACTGAACTGAACTGAGCTAAACTGAACTGAACTGAACTTAAACACTAAAACCTGAACCACACTGTTCCAGTAC